TCATTTGTTCATATGCTGACCATAATGAACTTTATAAATGTCTAATTTTATTATGTTCGCTTGTTTTTTTTCCAGAGTCTATGTTCATTTGGTTTATGGTACTAAAGATAAAGACCTCAAGGTCAAAGGACAAATTACAATACCAAGGCTTTTCACATCGCTACTAGGAAGTTACGTTTTTGTGAAACGAGAAGTAAGGGAAGAATTAAACAACGATTTAACCTTATGGAAAGATTAATACCTCAATGTCAAACTTAATTTCGAAGATTTCTGATTTTTTGTTTTAATAACCTATGAATAATTGTTTCTCAATTTTGTTTAGTGATTGATGAAATTTGATGTGCCTTCAAGGATAATTTTCACCAAAGATTTAGTTCATTGTTTTTACAGCAAGTTCATTTTTACTACTTTTCCACATTTCTGTCTTATTATTATAACTACTTTTACCATATTTGGGATACTTTACTGCAAAGTAGTGCACAGAGTTACTGAAGACAAAAAACTTGATACTTTTTTATTGTACCATAAGTATTATCTAATATTGAGCTCCAACCACCTCCTTTATGTTCTCCCTTTCCAATCTAATGGTACCTTATTTATCCATTACAGCTCGAAGGTTTATCCAATTGTGATTATTGCTTATCCTTCCAAGCTTAATGAGTATGCATTGGACTTACTGATGGTGGAATTCACGTGCTAGAGCCCTTGGAAATAGAAGACACATGAGGTATGGCACCTTCCCAATAAAATGGTGTACCCCAGCATCAACCTCATTGCATTTGTACTGGAGCAATCTTCAAAGTGGTATCAACGTGTATTAGATTAGTTAGCTTGCAAGATCAACAGTCTGATAGGCCGAAGGAATTGTTAGTTACAATTATCTGTTAACATGGATAGGAATAGTTCTACATATGTAAGATGAACTGAGAATCTTTTAATTTTTTTTACTTCTCTTTTTTCTTGGACCAAATAATGTATCTAAAATGCACATTTACATATTATCCAGTTCTATTGCGAGATTATCTCCCTCTTTTTTTAAAAGAGGGAATCCTTTGTTTACTGTTCATTCTGGACATATTTCGTCTTCCCATTTTATCCCTCTTTTGACTACTTTGAACTCATGAGAAACAAAACGTTGGGGGAAAATTAAATTTTGAAGAAGAGAAAAAAGAAAATCAATTTATAAAGATTTGGTCAAAAATGTAGGCGGTGAAAGGCGGTGGCTGTACTTTTCTTATTCTTTGCATTTTTATACAAAAAAATATATATATATTTCTCATCTTCATCAAGAATACGTAACAAACGAAAAGTTTGGGAAAAAGAAAAGAAGAGAAAAGGGAGAAGGATAAAATCAACATTCTGGTTGGAAAATTTGTGCTTGCTCCATCATCAGGTAAGATAAAGATAAAGAATCTGAATTAGTTTATTTAGTTGTGGGTTTGCCTACTGATTACTGATAATTCAATCTGAAGTGTAAATTTTTGGAAGTTATTGTGATTTTCTAAGTGAAATATATGGGTTAACTTTGAGCATAATATGTGTATTTGGTTAATTCACGTCGTGTCTGGACATTGCACGGACACGACATCAATACACAGCATGAATATGACAGTTGTGTCTGGACACCGTATCATAAGGAAAAAAAAATTTGTAGCTCATGTTATTCTTCATTGTGCTAATGGACACACAATGTTTTGACACTAGCCTATACACCATCTCCGCATTAGTTTTAAAAAATGTCTTCATGGTAAATAGAGACATGGTATTTCTAGACACAGGTATCGTGTACAGGTCTGTGTGGACACAATGCTGCTATGGACACAACATGTCTAAATAGACGATATGGACATGGCCCTCATCTCCGCTGAGTATGGAGTGTTTTTTTTAGAGCATCATCTTGTTATTTGGTTTTGAAAGATCATGAAACGGCTTCAAAGAGTCACTCTACATAGTACGAAATTCGACTCATTTATTCCACACATTCTTTTGTTTCCATGTTGATTTTTAAAAACAATTAATTCTGCATTATTTAAATTACTAATTTTTAAATAAATAAAAATAAATAAGGATTCTTGTAATTATTTTAAGTTATAAAGATCACATTTACTTATTTAATTGCAAAAAACTTTTATTATACAAAATCCACTTATAATTTAATGCTTTTTTTGAGTAAATTAATATTGATAGACAAAAATTAGATTTCATACCAACTTATTTTTCCCTATTTTATTAATGAAAATACAGGTGTAAAAATGTATTTACAAATAAAAGGGTTGCTGTCTCAGTCTCTCTAACCTCTCTAATAACACTATCATACAAATGCAAAAAGATAGTGCTCCATATAGTTTCTACATGTTCAGTTCTTTTATTCCCCCCCCCCACCCCCACCCCCACCCCCACCCCAAGAGCCTTCATTTTTCAACTCCAGAGAGTAAAGTCTCATTTCTCATTCCAAACCTCAACATCAACCTTAGCACTAGCCGTTGTGATAATGCAAACAGAGGCAGTATCAAGTATGACGAAGTACAGACAGAGCACACAAACTAATGAATCACACGCAGATAAAAAATAAATGATCCAAGATTTATTTATATCACGCAAGTGTGCACATTTTAATACAATCAGATAGGCAGGCAACAAGTTAATATAAATCTTAATCAATCAACAGTAAGGGTAGCAATCAAAGAGTAAGAACTTCAAGTAATCTTGAAGAACCGTTAATTCCAGTCCCCTCAGATTCTAGAGTTTTCAAATGAAACCCTAGACAAAGGAAGATCCAGGAGGATTCAAGCAAGAGATCCAAGAAAATTACTATTTGAAAGAAAATAACAAAATAGGGTTAGAAACTCGTTAGCAAACACCTCTGATAAAAGATGTAAAATAGTGAAAACCATAACTATTTTACCAACTCTGCCAAGAATGTGAATCAGACAATTTCCAATAAAGATCTTTTTAGATCTGGAGCCACGTTCACCAAGAACACCCAGAAATAATATCAGATCGAAGAATACTTGGAGATCGAAGCGCTCTGATACCACTGTAGGAATTACACAGGCCCCAAACCACAAAGTAATGCAGAAAATAGAAATGA